TCCTACCTGTACGGAGATTATCCCCGGGGGATGGAGTAATCCTACCTGTACGGAGAATATCCCCGGGGAATGGAGTAATCCTACCTGTACGGAGATTATCCCCGGGGAATGGAGTACTTCTACCTGTACGGAGATTATCCTCGGGGGATGGAGTACTCCTACCTGTGCGGAGATTATCCTTGGGGAATGGAGTACTTCTACCTGTACGGAGAATATCCCCGGGGGATGGAGTACTTCTTTATGGAGTACGGAGACCTTCCCTTAGGGATTATTTTAAAATAGGTTGTTTTGGGCGGGAGGGATCATTTCAAATTTTTAGTACAAATATCCCCTTGGAATGAAATACCATTACATCTTTTTAAAGATATACATCTAAAGATACGGGGGAGTTCTCATTGTATAACAGCATTTAACCGAGGGGGGTGGGGTCAGGTGAAGTTCTATTCCCTTGAACAAGAGATTTCATTGATAACCTTAAAGTAGCTTACCTTAAAGTAGGATTTCCGAAATTCAAACCCTACCTTTTACGACAACCGCTTTGTGCTGAGACAACTTCTCCCCCGAGCTCTCTCTAGGCAGTCGCATACACAGACAGGGCCCCATTAATTATATCACATATCAATCGATTTTGTGGTCGAAAAGCGGACATAACGGTGCCATCACATACTTATTTCATTGTCACACCTAGAGTAAACCCCTGCCAAAGGGTCGTGTAGAATGTAAAGAGGAAAATGACTTAAAAGTACATATTAAAACAAAGAGAAAGGTTCTTTGAGGTGAATGTTTTTACTATTTAAAGAGATTGTGATAAGAACGGAAACTAACAGGAAGTGAGATCCAATTGAGGAGTAGCTTACGTAGCGAGCACTTCACTCTGTTGTTTACTTTTACTCTTTATTGTACACACTATTACTTCTTATTTCATTCCTTTGTTAGAAATTTCATAACTTCATTACAATGGTATAAAATTGAATTCTTTTGGAATTGAAAATATTCAAAATATAAATCTTGTCGTGCAGCCGAAGTTAATCGAATCAGGACTAGACCACGAAACACTTCTAGGCTTAACTTTGCGCGTTTGTCGAAAAAGAAATAAGACCTTAGTTAAAAGGACTTACGAACAGATAAATCGTTTATTTAAAAGTCAAAGAAAGAAATCCCAGTAGTCGTTTAGCTGAAATCCCTGAACTCAAGTTGAGAAATCAAAAGGAAAGATCTTGATACTATTAAACACGATTAGCCGTAAATCTGCTGCCGCCTTGATCCGTGCTATCTTGGCTTGGGACTTCAAGTCTGAAAAACTATACAAAAATGGTGACTGCTTGGCTCTGGGTGATCCTATTTTGGTCAAGTTCAACAAGGCATCTTAAGGCATCATATTCCTGTATTTCAAATGAAAGACTAACTATTTATCGGGTTTTTAAATGTTTTTAAATAATTAAGTCGATAGCTAAGGAGAGGCAAAAATACTCCATCTTAGCTAAATCCACGACAAATCCGCCGTGACACAAGTAGGTTTATCTCGGGTAGATATACTAGATCGTGACAAATACTTGACGGAATTCGATCTGTGATTGAGTAGGGCACAATAGAGTGATGCCCACATAGATGTGGATTTAGTTACACGGAGGCCACTGAGTGGATAAGGTCGCAGACAAATGATAAGCCCTAACGAAAAATCTCTATTTTTGAAACACAAGACCTTGACACGGTAACACAGTCGGGAGCTCTTGTGATCAAAAATCGTCCCTTTGAAAGTCGGGGGAGCTATTTCTATCACATGAGCCATGGAAACACACATCTGATGGTTGATTCGTGAAGCCATTTGTCTTGAGAAAGCTATGTCGGAGAATAGTACAGTTCCTGGCGCGAATAATGTAAGCAACTGTTTATCATTGAGTAAGAAGCTCAGCAACTCATAAAACTAAAATTATAATATATTCTAGCTATAAATTTTCTATTATTTTCTATTTTTTCAGATGGCTGAAATGCGCCCGTCAGGCATCCAGCCTGCACAAGCTCCATGGGTTCCCCCTTGCGCTCAGACTGTACAAGCAGGAGGAGTTTGGTGTGAAAAATGTAACAACAGGCTTGTAGAACTCAAGCGCCAGGTCCTTCGTCTGATTCTTCCAGAGATTCAGAGCTTTTTCCACAGTGGAACCACACCAAACACTGTAAGTATTCTTGTTTGGGAATCGCGTCGTTGCATGAAATCCGCTTATTTCAATCCGAATAGTTTGGAGAGCAGGAATATTATCTAGAAAGAAAATAATCGTCTTTACGGCGCTCCTCTTCCCTTTTCTATGGGAATTAGAATGTTCTTGCCTTAATTCTTAATATTGTTCTTCATTAATTTCCAACCAACAAATACTGATTTGTGCACGATTATGAAGGCTTACCTCTTGAATTCTTTTAATACGAAAGAGAAAAAATTCACTGAAAAACCTCATGTGAGTTTAGGAATTCATTCTATCAATAGTTACATTACTTCAAGGGAAAACTAAGAATCAAGGATAATATAGGAGAAAATGTCATAGGTTGTAAACAGAGATGTAGTGTTGATTCAAAATAATAAGAGTTGAAAGCATATGTGTGAGAGTGTGAACAATATTGCTGTTGTTCTATGTCGGAATGACGTGAATTTATGCGGTAATGGTTATCAAAAGAGTGAACTAGTGAAGGTGAACCTAGTGATCAATGCGTTAATTGTTTCCAAGGACAAGATAGTAGGTTTTGTAAACATGACGGAATGTCGTCAATCCTCGCAAGGCAGAGGAGTCGGAACCGGCGCGGTGGATAAAGGACCTTCGTTGACGTAAAACAACAATATTTTATATAGAAGGGGTGCTTTGAAGTAGAGTGGGKTTTCGGCCAAAACCACATGTCAACGAGACACAAACACTTAGTGCTGACGTTAATGTGTTTTCTTTGATATAAATGAAAGGCCATGAACCTTTTCCCTGCAGTTAAGATTAACGTTTGAAATCAATCCTCTTTTGGATTGACAGATATGGAGGAATGATAGTATCTATTCAAAATGAACAGCAAGCACCCCCTGTTCTTTTCTTTGGGTCAAACTTTTGTGGTATTTCAAAAATACTTTAACCGTACATTCCATTCCTGGAGGAAGAATTACGGAACGACGTTTGATCAATGAAATAAGTTTTCCTCGGCTTTCTTTTTCAAGAAAGAAATTTCACATACTGTACAACTTCTTTTGCGTTGTCCGTGCGGTGATATAGTTTTAAATATGAATATTTCTTCCATATATTTCGATGTTTCAAAGTCTTAGTCAAGTAGAACTCTGCAGTAGACAGCGTGCACAAAGTAGGAATCTATCTTTCGCCTAATTGGTAAAACTCCAAATACCGGACAATGTTTGACAAACAGAGTCAAGTTAAAAGCGCGACTTTAAAGGTTACAGGTCGCGTGCTTCGTCAAGAGTGTTGAGATATTTCACCGCGCACGATGGAAACAAAACAAAGCCGGCGCGCAATTAGACCAGAAGGAAAAGACAGTCAGTCATATATTGAGTTATCGGAAATAATGAAACTGGTGCGCAACTTTGTTTATGCACCTTAAATTCTTAAACTAGAAAATAATCCTGAAGCGTCCACGTGCTGGGGAAATGCATTTCCTTGACAAACGAGAATAAAGTATTGTTACGAAAGTAGGTGGAATGAAAAGAATTGGTCATCTTCTCTACCGATTCTAATCAAAAACAAAAAACAACAACAAGAAAAGAACAAAAATCCCCAATAAAAATCTTTTTCTTTCAACCGACCGATCTTCTAAGAAGCGTCGTATCCCCTCTACCCCCCCTGACAATTCGTTAATGGCTCTAGGCTATTTTTGTCTCAGAACAGCAAATTTTTTGAAAGTATGTACCTTCGGAGTTTTCGTGCTCAAGAGCGACCGTCTTTGAAAAAATTTGGGTTTTATTCCTTCTCAAAACATTCCACAATAAAAATACTTTTCGTTACTTCTGTTGAACTGTTTCTTTCCGTAGCGTGCCGTGTAGACAATTCCAACAGTTTCGAACAGTCCTAATCGTCACCTTTCATGACTGCGCCATACCGAGTTAATTCATTAAGTTCATTCTCAGGTGGTCTAGTATTGTATGGATTGTATAATTCAATAAGACAATATCCTAGTCAAAACAAATTATCATCTTGACAATGAAGATTTTCCTGACTAATTCTCTTACTCTACCGTTGAACAGATGAGTGGTCATATCGCACAGATGTACCGTTGTCATCTCGTCTTGTTTTTGTTCCCTTTGCTTTGCGTGCTTGCGCAGTTGGAGCGCAACTTGTATTTTCTCTGGCCCATTTACAGACCACTGGCGGATGGGAGGGGAAAGCCTTCATGTTACCACTGCTGAGCGAAAATACGCCATACATTTTTTACCGTGATTAATTTAAAACCATTCTTTCTTTCGTAAAACACATGGTTATTATTAACCTTAATTTTTGCGCCAAGCCCCTAAGCCAAGACATGTATATAGGTAATTAATTGGATAGACTTTTGGTTTTTTCATTTTTAATTGTTTTTCCTGAGTGACTCAGTATGTCTTAAGTACGCGCATGTGCATAGTGAATTAAATTCTGGACGGTCTGACCAACGAGAATGCGGGCTTAGAAAACAATCACTGGACAATTCTGGGAAATTCTGAATCCCTATTCCTTTTTTGTCAGACAGGATAAATCTTTTATTATAAAGACTTTATATTGACAGAGGAAATGCTTTAAACCAATCTGCAGTTTWCAAAACTATTTTAAAGTAAGATTCTTTGATTTATTGACACGGTATGACATGATGAGCTGTTCTAACCATTATTCCTTGACATCCCCAGGATTACCTACTTCCACTGCAAATTACTGGCTATTAAAATCCATTCAATAAAGTACACTTTACCTCTCGACCGCGTTTGCCACTGTCCTAGCTGCTAAGGTTTTTTGCGGAACAGTGTTTAGGTCTTTGTTCTTCAAAAAATGATTTTAAAATATTTCTAGAAACAACTATTCTCGATTTTGTAATTTTATTAACATTAGACTGTTGTCTCTGAGAGGCGCAGTTTCTATATTTCTTTTTGGTAACAGAAAAATCTGAAAAGATTTTGAATGATGCATTTACATATTTGGATGTAGTAACATCATTAGCGCACGGCTTCCTCCCCGCATAATTTTCAAAATACGCGCAGATGTTAGCAAGGTTCCTATGTGTCTTTTGCGTGGCTAAATGTGTAAAGAGCCGCGTCCGGACCTGACAAGCCATCACTTTTAGATGCTCCACATCACGGCCCTGTTTTCCATACAAACTGATTGTCTCGTTTGATTTTGGTCTCCAGGGTTCCTTGTCATCTCGTATCTTCAGTCAAATTGGCCTCCCTGAATCGCATCTCAAGTCATGGCACGCTGACCAGTGTCAGGTCTGTTCGACTCATCTCAACCAATTAAAATGGGAAGCCGTTTCCATGGTGCACACCCTTGAAGAATCTCAATTCCTCGCCTATTATAACATACCTGGATACGTCGTTGGACCTAACGCTCAGCAGGTTTTGAGAAAAATGGAAAAACAGCGGCCCCCTGTTAATGTGGTTACCGCTGAACAAAGTGATCGTGGGCTCGTATGTGCTCGACCGGAAGACGCGGCATCTTCGTCGTCTTTTTTACACAGGTTAGTGAGTTTTATTCTTATTCCAGATGGATATATCCCGTGCACAAAGGATTCCTAACATAAAAGTCATGATCTAAAGGTTATAGAAATAGGATATTCATGAGTGCTCAAGTCTCTCACCACGCAGAAAGATTTCCAGTGTGATAAAGTCAGACTTGACGAATGACGTCATGTCAGGAATCTGCTTTATCAATATCACTTATCTCCACAGTTATTCTCTCTCTCTMTATATATATATATCGATGGGAAATAGTGTGACAAAATGCAGACTCTCTGATACCGCAGCAATACCGGAGACAAATACGAACAGACGTTTTTCCTTCGAATTAGGAATTAGTCTAGCGATACTCCAGTTTCCAGTTGCCTGTTGCTCAGGGTTAACCTTGATTTTGTGCAGTATATTCATGTTCCARTAAAGGTCTGTGGAATTGTTCAAAGTGTTCGTATTGTTAAAGTTGTGCATTCTTTACTTTACCGTTGGTATTTCTGCATATTTGAACACTGATACGAGGCTAACCCTGAGTAAATGAGCCTGCAATTAAGAAACACAGCGGTAATTTAGAACTCGAAAGTGGTCTATTGTAATTGATAGGGTGGTGGGAATCAATGGAGCGATGATACTGATGGTACCCCTGTGCGATATTTGCCTTGTTTCCAAGTCCTTGGTCAAGACCTATAACTTGACGCTATGTTTTCCTTGTTCATGCTATATCTAATCGCCAAGAATTCTTTAATCTCTCCGCTAGTTACCATTAAACATTGCGACAAACGTCACGTGACCAATCTTTGCATAAAGGCTGTTCCATAAGTGCATTTTTAGGGCAAAGGCTGCGATTTCAATGATATTTTTTTCACTTCAAGTTTCTATCTTCTGTGTATAACTGTGAATGTACTTTACTCTGTTTCGTAAAATTTGAGAAAATGACGCAGAGAAATAAACTACAGTGTAGTGAGGTAAATAAGGGTAAGCTATTTGTATAAAAAAAACGCACGATATCGATTTGAAAACTTTCAAAACATGACGAGTATCTATAAATTCCAAATTGTACGAGAAGATTGTGCGATTTTTTTATTATAATTTGTTTAAAACACTCAACAAAATTGAGCGACTTGGGACTCTTCAGAGTACAATTTTAGATTTAATTGATTTTCTTGTCCAATCAGAATCGAGTAATTTCGTGTAGTGTATTATAAGGAATTAAATTCTCGAGACTAGTTAGTTTTGTTACCTAAAACTACTCAAGAAGAATCCAAGATCTCCATTAGTCGTGCTGGGGGAAAAGGCAAAGAATGACAAAATGTTTCGACCAATAATTGCAACACACTTATAACCGATGTCCTTATAACCTCCAGCATTTATAATGTATATATAGGTTAATTAATTAATGGCTATAGATATTGAAGTCTTTTTCCGGAGATATTTAGAATATTCACCTTGGTGGTCTGACTTACACAGAATAATTTGCCCTCAGGATGATTGAGCCTCGAGGTATAGGCAGTATAAGCCCCAAGACAGGGCTTTGCTTCTTAAGGCTAAACAATTTCAAAGTCGGTTTAAACCCCCTAAAGGTAATCTAAAATATTTTATCTTCCTTAATCATGGAATTGAGCTTGATACTCAACAACAATTTGCAACAACTACACTCTGTTTGCCCTGTCTGGATTTTTTTCATTTTGTTTTTGAAAAAAAAAAAAAAAAAAAAAGATTCCAATCATAGAATGAGCCACCAGCGATGGCTAATGCTCTATCCCACCTCGTGTAACGCCCCGAGAAAAAGAACTATTCGTAAAATGAGCTACCTAAAAAAAGCTTGTTTTTCTCGTTACATGTATATATATTGTGGTGTTGGTCTAAATTGATCCTAAAAGATTCTTGTCATAATTCATAATAGTGACAGCTGAAATCAAGAGGGTTTTTGACTAGAATATACTTATATTAATGGCAGTGTACATATAAACTGAACTGAATAATGTGTACTAGTATCGTAGCTTACTAGTAATATTCGTATTGGTCATCCATTATGTACAAAAGAAACTAACTAGGAAACTAGTTTTAGTTTCGTCGTCAGTGTGTTAAGCATTCAAAACTGAATGGGACACTTTGAAATGAAGGGATTTGGTTTTAGGACAGCTGAATGAATTGATTCAGCCACTGTGCACTTTATAGGTTTTACAGAAATTATTAATTGGAAGATTGGTAGATTGACACTTATCATTTGGATTGATTGGTCGAACTCTTACTAAAAGCTCAGTTTTAATTAAGATTGTGATTGGTTGGCTTATATGATCGTAAAACACCTGTTGATGGGGAATAAAAGATTATAAATTTGATGAACACAACATTATAGATGCTCTTCGCTGATTGGTTAGTCTTTCCCGGGGTGTAATTTGATTGGTCTATTGTTGTGATTGACATACACCTGTTGAATACAGAAAAAGCGAACTCAAACTTCAATTAAAATATCTTGATTAGGATATCGTAATGACTGGAAGCAGTTGGTTTTGCTTTTCAAGGAAGATGACCACGAGGTCTTTAATATTTTTCACACCAATTACAAATGTCTTTGTCAAAATAAACGAGTCATAGCTGCAGATCAAGCCATCTAGCTTATAAAGCATGATTACTAAATAGCAGAGCATTTGAACGACACTAATTCGCTGGAACATCAACGAGTTTTTCTTTATGTTTAGTCGTAGGCATCCACTGACGTGGCTACATTTTAGCGTATAATGATTGTTAAGAATTCTTTTCGATAAAAAATAAGTTGATGCTCTTAATGAAGATCTGTAAACTTTTCTAAGAATATTGTATATTTAACAGATCATTTTGAAGAAAGTTCTATGATATCTAATTAAAGGAAAAAAGAAAATACGAAGAAAACTCTCCAAAACTCAATACTCCATTTACAGTTCCGTTCGAGTGACTACGAATAATAGTTGCAAGTCGAGGCTGCAGTTTCCGCGCATAGCAAAACTATACTTTTTATCATGCGATGAAACTCCAGCCTCGGCTTGGAACGGAACTGTAAAATGGAGTATTGCGAAAGATAGGAATAAAATATACAAGCAGAAATATTATATCATACAAAAATACAATACAGCAGCTGTTTCTGAAGGTTCTTAATTTTTGTAATCAAATCCACCCTGAACAGCTCGTCGTTATCGCGATCGGCGTCTCACTTTAACACCAAATGACAAAATGATGAAATTGTTTTTAAATCTTAGAAGTAAATATGGCGCTGTAATTTATGTACAAGCTAAAATTAAGGCAAACATGATCTATATATTCTATGACCGTCTAATTTCACTAGTATTTTAGAATCGCTGATAAGAAAAATCAATCTTCTTTTTCCTTCGTTTTTCTTTCTTTCCTTTCGTGTATGTTTTGCTCAACTTTATTCATAGTGTCTTCCATAATATTAACAGTAGATTATAGCTAGTCTGGGTATTGTTCAAGTAATGGTTTTAGAAAGTGGCTATAGCGTTTGTTGGTATTGATCGAACGGCGTGTTTTGATGTGTAACTGAAGATCAATATTCGTTATCAAAAACTGCTGGTCATTTCGCGTAGTGTTGGGGAAGTTCAATAAAAATGTTCGCGAGAAGTCTGTCTAGAAGAGAAGTATAAACACTCTACCCTACTCAACCCTACAGCCAGTTGATGGATGGAATAATGGGTGAATAGATGGATAGATGGGACAGGATGGATGGATGAGATGAATGGAGGAATAGTTGAATTAGAGTTTGAATGGATTAAAGCATGGAATGGGATGCGATGGATGGGATGAATGGATGAGATGGATGGATGGATGAGATGGATGGATGGATGGTGGATGGATGGATGGATGGATGGATGAGATGGAAGAATGAGATGGATGGATGGGATAGATGAAATGAGGAAAGATAGAAAATCGACAAGAAACCATCGATCAGCAACATTCATTTTCCCCACCCTCCCCACCCCTCTCCTCTACATACTCACCATCTGCATAAGGCGCTACTGAAACTTCCGATGAATTGTCATTGAGTGCAATAAATATGAACAACCTGTTTGCCTACGCAAAACAGCGGTCGCCTCTTTATTTCATTGTAAATGAACAAGGAAGACCTTTAACAGTCCTTGACGATCCTTGTCGCTATATGCTCCTATCGCACGCTTATCGACATGAGCTACACATACCCTAGAACGTTATCCAGCATGTCTCGTGATATAGGAAGGGATAATTCATTATTATGGTAGGATTAACTTCTGCAAATAATATCAAACTTGTCGCTACTCTCTGGCGTCATTTTCATCATTTTTTCTACAATTTGTTTCTCTTTCTTTCTTTCTTTTCTTTCTTTTCTTTTTCAATCCTACTCAGCTCCAGCACTTTCTACTGGCATCCTGAAGTCTTCCTAGACTATCATAGGTAGGGGCTTCGCGATATTTAATTTTATTTATTTTAATTTTGATAGTTTCATGTGAGATTGCTTTTATATTATCACTGATATTTATTGCTCATCATCATATTATCCTCCTATCAATGTATTTATATTTGAATTATTTTTATTAATTAAGATAATGCGGTGCAGTATACTGACATTATTATAACAAAGTTATAGTTTTTCCATCTCATTGTTGTCATTACAACTGACTTATAATTCTTTTTTAAATACCATTGAAAATACTATTTCCAACAACAGTTTGTTTTAAGGATTGCAACAGGGATTTAAATAGCAGTGAAAAATCCTTCAAATTCCAATATTTTTAGGGGATTTTACTGCATCTGTAGCACTGCAGAATAGCTTGATATCATAATATTCCTCTTGAGAGAGCTTAGCAAACGAATGTTTTTATTGTAAGAATATTTTTGTACTAGACTGAATTTTCGTGACAATACCATTATATTTACTCTTTCTTCTACAATATTTTCGGTCTTATCTCCCTAACTAAGCGGCAAGACAAAGAATTATCTTTTTCAAAGGAAGTCTAAAGCAATTTCACAATACAGTTTTATAATTTTTATCTCGGTCCCTGTAAAGATAAAATCCATCCGAGCACATTGAATTATTCTGTAAGCGTTAAGTCTAGACTGTCGCCATAGTTTACAGATCATTCTGATAGCATAAAAAGAGATTATTGGCTTCAAACAAACTTTCAAAAGCAAGAAAATGCACTAAAAAAGAAATATTCCTTCAAAAAMATTTTTTGTCAAGGTTTCGAACTTATTTGTCTTCAGCGTTTTTATTTTGGTTTCTGCAGTCGCTGATGGACGTTTTTTCTGGCCTCTTTTAAGAAAACGTTTTTTATTTCATTTCTCAAGGAAAAACCTTAATAATAGGCAGTTTAATGACTTAGAGCAACCACATTTATTTTAAATGTTCCCGTCATAATGTGAAGATTATACGCACTTTACAGCAAACAAGAACCAGAAAGTCTATGAATCCGGCCATTGATGATCTCATTCAGCACACAATGAATATTACCGAGCGCTTCTCTTCCGACGTTCAGGAAACCTCAAGTCTCGCAAGTGCGCTTTCAAATGTACCGATTCTAGAGCAAAATAAGCTTAAAAATACATTTTTTAATCTAAAAACAATACTAGTTTCTCGTTACGTCCTAAACCCCGGGAACTTAAGACTGAGGACTAGTCTAGTTCTTGATCATTGATCCTTATTTCTTACTAGTAAATGAGTTCGGTCAGGGAGCTCTTTGAATATCCTTCCCGCTGTGCTGGCTTAAGTGCAGAGTTCTGTCGACATGGTTTAATAGTGGTAATTGTTATAACTAAACACACAGCCATGACAGTCGGGCTAAAATATTTTTTCATGTCAAAACACTAGCTCGATGCATGCTTAGGGTGTTCGCGGTATGTTTCTTAATGATTAATTAATTTAAGCTTTGATTCAATATCTCTTTGGTAAAGTGCGGTGTTGAGTGAAAGAAAAACCTTTAGTTAGATCATAGCGAGAAAATCTTCATATGAACATGTTTAGGAAGACATATTGAGAGACCATTTCAGTTTCATGAATAGTTTATCACCATTTCATTGGCAAGGAGAGATAAGAAACACTAAAATTAATTTCCGGTGAGAAGAGTTCAGAGAAATTTCACCGAAACGCTTTCAACAGGTAAATAATCAAATGCGCAATTAAAAAAAGGTCATTGACCGACCTTAAAACAAGAGCACGGATCTTGTGATTCAGGCGCCAATCCGCGCACGCGCAGAAGATCCAAAAGAATGTCTGTGAAAGCATCGCCTTTGAACAAGGGAAATGCTAGCTGTAATGATTCTTACGACCCCAATCCCCCTCGGCCACCGTATACACAGCATTTCAAGGGCTCTACAACGTCCTTATGATACCGCCCATCCCTTAATCTTGAGTGTTCAATTGTTTTCAATATACTATGATTAAAATATACGCTATCATATAGGGCTGCACAGAAACTGAATTTGTCATCGAAGAAGAAGGTCAAGCGAAACCACAAAGATGGTCCCCAGACCAGCGATGTTCCCCAAACCAGACATGCGCAAAAGGAAACGTCACCGTATCCATTCCCGACCAAGTTTAAGGAAGTTTTACGATCGTCCAGTCCTACAGTACCAGCAGCGCTACAGAAGACTAGTCCAAAACGAAGAGATGGAAAGGTAAGAATATATGATTCTGTTACACTTAGTTTCTGTGAGCTAGAATATTCCCAGATAAGTATATAGCCCATTACTAGGAGCATCCATCTCCCATATTGGGTCTGTGAGCCACCGTATCGCCATATCAGTATGTAGCCCAGTACTAGGAGCATCCATCTCCCATACTGGGTCTGTGAGCCAGCATATACCCAGATCAGGAGCTAGCCCATCTCTAGTAACATCCATCTCCCATACTGGGTCTGTGAGCCAGCATATTTCCCAGATCAGTACGTAGCCTATTACTAGGAGCATCCATCTCCCATACTAGGTCTGTGAGCCAGCATTTCCCCAGATCGGGGTCCCATCATTAGTAACATCCATCTCCCATACTGGGTCTGTGAGCCAGCATATTCCCATATCAGTACGTAGCCCATTAATAGGAGTATCCATCTCCCATACTAGGACTGTGAGCCAGCATTTCCCCAGATCGGGGACCCATTACCAATAGCATCCATCTCCGATACTGTGAGGCAGTATATTATCCCCATTCTAATGATAATTCTTCTGAACGACACTAAGTCATGTTTCTGCTCTTCAGGTGAAGGTAATGTTACGAATATGTCCAAGTTTTATCGGCGAATCAGCATCAGTTATGAAAGTCGATACAAAGCGAAAACAAATCACTCTCTACGACCCAAGCACGGCCACTCACGTATCAACAGCTAAGCGCAAGATGGGCGTAGCGGCTCCTAAGATATTTGCCTTTGACGCTATCTACGAAGCCAGTGCTAAACAGAGTGACGTTTGTTCGGGAACCTTAGTGGATATCCTGCAGACTGTAGTTGGTGGTTCAGATGCTTGTGTATTCACTTACGGACACGCGGGATTAGGTTTGTTACTTTCTCGTCACATTGTTTGTTTTCTTTTATCATTCTTTAAACCTCCTAACCTTCAAATGTTATCGATACCCTGAAACAACCTCTTGGCTGATTAAAGTCAGGGCATGATGATAAAAAACAGCGGGAAATTTCGACTTTCGACAAATGATAAATGCGTTTACCGAAAAAAAAACAAAAGAGCGGGAAAAGTAGATTGATTACCTCAACGGGAAGACCGAGTTTTCCGTAACTTAGTCGATAGGATTAAAATGTGCCATTTGTTTTGCAACTGGAATTTCCGGTTTTTCCTGGTAAATGGTAAGCACCCCAGGAAACGAACCTCAGGCCCCAGAGATTATTCCCGAAGATTATCATTGATAACTGTCATATTTGGTTTACCTCACAGGAAAGACGTACTCTATGATTGGACGGGACGAGAATGACCAGACACTAGGCATCTTACCATCAGCACTATCATGGCTTTTTCGTCTCATTAACGAACAGAAACAAAAGTAAGTTAAGGACAGTAAGCTTTATTCAAACTGTTTAAAATTCGTAAAATACCTCTCTGATTTTTGACTACAGATCCATTTTCGCTGGGTTAGTCTCGATTTTGTATAGAATATACCAGTGAACTGAAGTCCGTGGATTTTCAAAGTGGTTGTATCGTTGTTCATTCTTTACTTTACCTTTGGTATTTTTAAATGTTTTGACACTGAAATGAGACTAAGCCTGCGTAAATGACTCTCGAATGAACGAATTTGAATAGTGTGGCATATATATTTTACAAATTAACATTGTCGTGACATATTATCTTTAATAAAACGCAATATGTTATCAATGTCTAATTTGCACAAAACTATATTATGTTATGTTGTATGCGTACACACGTTCATCATCGTTTGTCACTGTCAGCTCAATCTGTACTACTGACTGAATTAACGAGGCGAACRTAATCGGAAAAAGAATTTCGTCGTGCATGCGCAATAAGAATGACAGGGATCTGGGGCCCAATTTTGTCCCCAGAGCCTGCGTTTCACTTGGTCAGCACCGAGGAATAAGTACTGGGACCGAGGGTGGAGGCGCACCGACAGTGCGTACGAATAGTTTTTAACACATCCCTTTTTTGTTACAGAACAGGTACAAAATTCTCGGTTCGCGTCTCAGCCGTCGAAATTGTTGGGCGATCAGAAAACTGGAGAGATTTGCTGGCATCCGCTACCACAGGTAACCCATCACGAACAATCTGTGTTTAATGTTGTCACGGGATTAGGCGTTGTGCAACTGAGAGAGTAATTATTTTTGTAACCTTATTTTAAAAGGGACAGATAATGGCAGTAACGAGACACCAAGTCCAAGCGAGTTCCTTAGAGATGACAGGACTGAAGGAGTACAGGTCAGTGAGTAGTTGGATTTTTGAGCAGATTGAAAGATGGATTTGCTTCCAAGAGAATCAAAGAATATACTTTTTTGAGGGGGGAGCCTTGATTTTTCCGCATTTGGATTCAAACTGATATATAACGCTGAGCGTAATACAAGCGCATATACGTTTCCTTTATTGTTTATTCCTTAATTGTTCAATATTTTCACATTATGTGATTCTTTTATAAACATTCTCTAATCTTATATTATATATAATATGCGTGTAAATAAAACCAAAAAGTTCAAGTTCAAGTAGTTCTTCAGGAAATCCTTGTCTCCTTGAATGGCACATATTCGGATTAGCATTCATTTTCGTTCGCAACTCATCATATTTTTTCTGTCTACCCCGCGATGTCACCAATGCTCCAATCGTTTTAGTAACATAGATTTTATTCATTCATCAGCTGATGAACCCATCTGAGCTACGAGCTTCGTCTGCAGAGAAGGCTGCTTTCTACTTAGACGCAGCACTCGCCGCAAGAACGAGATCGTCAACAGAAAAACCTTCAGGTAATGCATACTTTTATTACTTGATAACATGACATTCCCAGTTCAAGAAAGCCTATTGCTAGAGTTCCGCGTGCCGTTACGTTTTGTTTACTCCTTAGCAACGAGGAGCTTTTGAGTTGATCCATTCCCTGATGACGTCAGAAGACCCTATATAATTTGGTGCTCTCAAAAACCTAGACATAATGACTAACACGTTGCATCCTTTGTTCGTCTCAGTAGACGGAGGCCTCGAAAAAGACGAAACAAGAAATTCACACATGTTTTTTACGGTTCACATTTACCAAGTAGAGAAACATTCCAAAAACAGTAAAGGTAGGTAAAGAAGTAATAACCAATTGCCTCTTGTCTTGTTGTTTCGTGTGGAGAACGCTTCAACCTGTGGCCTTGTTCAATGGCTAAATTGCTAGGCTTCGTTGCATCATCTCATTATCTGCTCTTAATGGTGGACAAACACAGTGACGAATCAAGGAATTTAGAAAGGGGGTTTCAAAATGGCCGCCATGAGCTGATGAGATCGGCTTCACAATTTGGGCGTTCCAATTTCATCAGCTACTGAGCGTAAAGAACACGATTGGCTGCACAAGATCTTACAAAAGGGAGGTTCGATTGAACCCACGCAATCATCCCCGCTTATTTCCGTCACTAAACCACTGACCACCATGTGCTGTCAGCCAAAAAGTCCAGAAAGAATTTTACTGGAAACTTGAGATTCAGCTGATGAACATTCTGCAAGAGGCAGGAAGGATGTCTAGTGAAATCAATGAATTGGATATTTGGAAGTGTTCATTTTTGATAGATGCTTTGCCGGGCGCTAGGACTCCTATGATTTGATCTGCAACTTTATTGGACCTGTTGCGACGACTGTGTATTTCTAATTATTGTTTTTGTTATTTCAGTGCATGGTGGAAGATCGCGTCTACATCTAATCGACCTCGCCAGCTGTGAGGGATACACTGGGTCCAAGAAAGACAGTGGTGCCAGTAGCATGTCTATAGCAGGCCTTGGAAATGTTATTATTGCTCTGATTAACGGTGCAAAACATCTACCCCACAAGTAAGCAATCCTTATATTGATAGATTACTGACCACCATGTGATGTAACCAGAAAACATTCTACTGAAAACGTGTGATTCAGCTGATGAACATTCTGCACGAAAGAAGAAATAACGTGAAGTGAAACCCAGAATTACAGCAGGGGTGTTCCTAGGGGGTTCTGGTATGACTATGACCTCCTTTCCATTGGTGGTCTATTTTTTGGGGAGTGTCACCTAATCAAATGTTTTTTTATTGTTTGTGTTTTCCCAGGGGAAGTAAAATAACCCGTATGTTACAGGAGTCGATTGGTAACCCCTCATGTCGTACCACCATGATAGCACACGTATCACCATCGCTACCATTCTACGCCGAGACCTTAGGAATCGCTCAGTTGGCGTCACGACTACACAGACTCAGGAAGAGAAAGGGAAAGGTGAATTGGTGTTCCTTTTATATGACAGTTGTTCATTTAACATGTTCATATAACATAATCCAAAAGACATGATTTATAAAGTCATGAGAAATAAAAAAAAGTTAGGAAAGAAGAAAGGAAGGAAGGGAATAAGGTAAAGGAAATAAAGAAAGAATAAAGGAAGACAGAAAAAAATTAGTTTGGTTTGTTTTACAGATGAAAGAACTTTGATCATCGATGTCTTTCTTTAATTATAAACTATTATAAAGTCTAAATAATTTGTGGTCTGTTCTTAGGGATCAAGCACGAGTTCTTCTGGTGGAGAAAGTTCATGTGACGAATCAAGAATACGAAAACCACGTCTACGAACAGCAGAACCCAAACTCCGCACCACAGCTATCCCAAATAGACTCCGAGAAGATACACGAGAAGAGGCGGAGAACTCGGATTATAACTCAAGCACGGGGGAAGAATCATGTGATACAGTAATCTATGTTGGTCCTGATGGAGAACTGAGTGATAGAGATCTTACAGACCACGAGGGACCGCCATCTATTCATCATTATAAGACAAGTCCGTTGGCTAAAGGGAAGTCACCGTGGGAAGAATGTGAAACCACGAGGTCGCTGAAGAGAAAGCTGGAAGCTATTGAGAACCCTGACCAGGAAGACGACGAGGAAACAGAGGGCAGAGAAACACCAATTGCAACAAAAGAAAGGGAAGAAATAAATGAAGAGGAAATCTTGACCGAAGAGCGAGAACCGGAAGAAAAAGCAGCAGAAATTAATGAAATAAATGAAACTGTGCAGACGACAGACGAAACACAAGAGTTGAATTTTGTAGAGGAAATAGAGGAGGAAGAAGAGGAAGAAGAAGAGGAAGAAAGAGAAGAAGCGGAAGAAGAAAAAGAAGATGAGAATAAAGTTGATGTTGCAGAAAACACACCAGATTGCTCCCAACAAAACAAAGAAGACGCTTCTCAGGAATTAGACACTTTTGACGACGATTATTTCGAAGAACTAAGAGAGCTGGAGTTTTTGGACCAAACTCTGGACAAAAACCTCGTGCACTCGGACGAGGAATTTGAACTTCAAGAGAAAGATTTTTTGCCCAATTTTACTGAAAACCCAAGCTTTCTTTCAGAGGATCTTAGCTTTCTACCGTCGAGACACGTATTATCAGATATACAACTGAAGGAAACTGCTAAATATGCACTAAGCAAGGCTGAATGTCTGTTGGAAGTCGAGTCAGATAATATCGAGGCGTTAGAGGACTGGAACGAGGCTGCAGCTGATGTAGCTGCAATCATAAAGTACCATAAACAATTAACCAGTAAAAGTATTCAGGGTGATGGGTACCCTGTAGACCAATCGCTATCAAAATCCATCAAAAAAAGTCACACATCAAAGTCCAGTAGTTCAGATGCCTCATCTTCAGACGCTGAGAGCATTGTCCTTCCAGAGAAACCATGTTTTTCATTCATGACCTGTGACGCTGTGAACGTCGACGATAATGAACCAAAAACCACTGGGAAAAGACTTTCTGGTAGCTTTATTAAGATAAAAGGTGATGTTGGCTTAGGCTATCGGCCCGATGTTACCGCCAAGCTCGTTGAGGCGTGTCAACCTGAGGGATTCTTCTCTCAGGATGGAGGAGCTTGCTATGTAGTAGAGGAACATCACAGTCCAGATGAGCTCTATTATGACGACACTGAACTGATCTGGGGCGAGAAGGAGGACGACCTGAGGACTGTTACTGTACTGTATCTAGATGAACGTGGACAAGGCATTGAGAAAGAGGTCAAAAAAGCACTCTCTGAGGAAATGCTCTTCCCAGACTTGGATCAAAAGCTCTATGACGTGAATTTAGTCTGTGATGGACGGGAGTCTGAAATCTCGTTCAAAATGGAAGGTTCTACAGATAGTTTCGATTCTGACCCTGACCTTCCTCCAAGATCTCCCGCCATGGACACCCCAATGAAACTCTTTTATCACCTAGTCCCATCGCCTCAATCTTCCTCCAATGAAGAGCTAGACGAAAGTCAATCCTCGAAAGCCAAGCTAATGGCTGCTAAGTCACTCTCTCCTATACAAGAATGCCCTTCAAGAGAATCAAGTCTGAACAGGTCGTCGGACAGTCTAAATATTCAAAGTCTGCGGGATCAGAATTATAATGTTGTCAACACTTCAGAATTAGGCAACGGTCGTAAAGTAGAAACGAATGAGAGAGAAATCACTTCACCACCTGCTAAATACTTTAGAACAGTGGAACATGAACAAAATGGAAATCCAACGAAGCCGGGGAATAGTCCACCGCAGAAGTACGATGCTTGTTCGATGCTTCAAAGGTTTGTTGCGGACCAGATAATGGAAAGTCAAGCTGCAAGCCAACTCACTCGGCCCAAACCACAGCAACCAGTCGGTACAAACCGAGTTACGCCAACACGAGGTAACAGGCGTTGCCGTGTCATATCCCCTAACGATCCTTCAAGCCAGGACATCTTGATCCCACCGCTGACACCACACAGACGATCAGTGACGGATCGAGCGCGAGTTATTCGCTCCCCAAAACTAGGCGTACAGCGTGAGAGGGAATACGGAAGTGATGTAGTAAGTTATAGAAGAGACTATCAGGATGATTCTAGTGATAGCTCGCTGACGACCAGAACAGAGCCGTGGAATCCTGTCAGGCCAAGACCGTTGTTTCCTCCTCATCAAGTAAAGCAAAGTATTATTACAAACGTTACGTTTCTTGGGAGCGAAGAAGCTACCTTGTCGAACACTCACACCAAGGTGGTATCCGTAGAAGACCTGAAGGAAGCTGAAGATGAAATCCGTCACAGTCAAGAACTCGACAAAGAAAACTGTGACAGAGTGAACTATAGCCAAGAGGATAACGCAAGAAGAAGTCGAGAAGCAAAAAAGAACCAGGAATTTGGTTATCAAAGCGAACCTGAGGTCTGCAGAAATAAAAACTCCAATCGAAAACAAAAACACAAGCGAGATGAACGAGGTTACGTCAGCGAAGGAGAAGGAAAACTCTCGAAGACCAAATGCGACAGGTCGAACAGTTTCGTACGACTAACATACCAAGGATCTGAAGTGTCTGGAAGTGAGGCCGAAGTAAGACGACCTCGTCTGCACCAGAGCGAGCCACATGTTGGTCGCTATGGAAACCTTAAACGTCCGTCAATCAGCAGAGAAGCTATAGATCCCAAGACACCGTATGCACCACAGAAAGACTTCAAGGTTCGTCAAGGACAGCGTCGTTCATTACCCAAGATTATCTACAGGTTTTCAGGAGAATATGGTGCCGTTGTCACTACTGCTGGCGCTACCACAGGCTACCCACGACCCGTATTGTCATACTCAGTTGAAGGTATGCACAACACATCGTCAAGTAGACTTGGATCCACGAGTACTGTTAATAGTAATGGTCTGACGCTAGCCAAGAGTAACAGCAGGGTATGGGTGATGACTGATCCGCCAACATCTTGTGAGGAGATGACAGCTGATGAACAGTCGGTACCAGGAACGCCCGTATGTGCGTCACGTGGGAGGAGGCTGAACAAGCTACGGCTCTTCAGGTAATGGAAACTACTTGAAATCTAATTGAAAAATTTAAGTATGAAAAACGTCCGCGCATGTTCAAAGTCTTTAGTCGAAAACATTTGCGTAGTACTTTTAAAAGTTGCAAATTTGACTTTCAAACTTCCCCGACAAATGGACAAGCCAAAGCTTAGTCAGCCCTTGAATTTAACGACGTTTGCGGTCATTGTTTCTGCGCATCCCTTCTGCCGCGCCTTCAAGTTATTTTGATGATTTTTATATATTAAAAATACGATCAAATCCAAGATGGCGGCGAAATCTTGCGACACGATATCTCGAAAACGGTGTGACCCCGCCAGTTTTTATTTCATATTTCTAGCTCCAATGTAATCGAGTATCGGTATATCGGTTTCTGATAATTGAGATCGTAATTTCATTTGCCCGCAAACAATCTTCAAGCTAATTCTTCCATATTGTCTTCAGTCGTGACAGAGGTAGCAGCTACAGCAGCGGACATGCGAGTGACAGCAGTGTGAACGACAGCCCGGGACCACGAAAGAGCAGACTTAACAGCTTGCGACGATCCAAATCTGGTACATATTACAAGACTTGGGAGAAAACCCCGATTGGCATTCAATTGATTCCAAGGTTATTATTATCATATTTTTTTTTATCAGTATCGAATCGATCAGATGCAGCCAGCAGTAGTGGCTACGAAAGCATGCGCAATGACACGAGTCATGCATCCAGTGATAGCTGCAGTGAGAGGGGCTCCAGTAAAAAGAAGAAAAAGAGAGGTAACTTACTTAAACACAACATAAATTATCAAAAGTGCCAGTATAATGTTTTTACTAGTGGTAATAGATCTCTTTACCTTGGGCGTAATGTTTTCCCATTTCAGACCAAGTGTTATCCCCTTTAGAATGATGTTCTTTGTTTGAGTCGTATCCATATTCATGTGTCTTCTCATGAAAAACAAACGTTAAACGAAGAAATTATACTCTAGGGAATTAACGACACGTGGTCTGAAATGGGAATTCATAACCCCAACAGTAAAGATGTTTATTTGTAATTTGCCCCATTAAATAATATGATTTTCAATGAGTTATTACGTATTTCTTTGGCCTAATGACGTCACTCGTTCCCACCAGGTTTACACAAGCGCAGTAATTCAGCTCCCCCATCAAATCGTCGTCGGTCAAGATCCCCTCGTCGTTGGTTTAGCCGGAAGTCACTTGACGACCCTATCGAGATCAAGGTCTATCACGTGGATGATATGGATAAACTGCAAAAATTCATGAGATCCGAGGTAAGTATATTTATGATATGATAAGTAAGGTAGTAATTTCTAAGACAATCAGGATCAGGGATATATATATATATATAT